AAACACGACATTTATTGGCGCGATATTCTAAGCTACTGTACACAACAAGAAACACTAAGCTCCTAAAACACGTGATGAATTTGCAAGCATGACGCCGCGAGTACATTTGCTTCGCGATATCGCGCACCATCTAATACTGCATCATTAGACCGGCAATCTTATTGTGTATGCGACTCTTGTTACAAACAGAAGAAAGAAAGAAAGAAAGAAAGAAAGACGAAGAACAAGGAAGAAAAGACGACTGCAACCGGAGGAAGTTAAATAACACGCGCGATTGAACGAGTAATTACACGGTTGGTAATTACGCTCAAGCAACTTTCTTGCCACGGACGAACTTAAAAAAAAAAAAAATCATTTTACATACTGATTATCCTTTTTTGTTTTCGTTTTTCCTTTTTTTTTTTTTTTGTCTTTCTGTTTTTGGTGTTTTGCAAGCGAGAAACGAAGATATACGCCCTGACGAAAAGCATTATAAAAGTTCGAAGTAAACAATTTTACATTATTGTCCGCTTTGTAGTCTTGTAGCCAGCCGAACGTTCTTCGTTCGTATCTCCAGTCTGTTCAGTCTACAAATGAAATTTACATGTAAAAAAGTTTACAGAGGAAGAAAGGCTTTGCCATGGTTTCGACCAGTGTGTTTCTCTTCGTGTCTTCGATCCTTCTTCCCCTTTCGACATTCGGCGAAAAAAATCAATCAAACGCGTGCTTGTTAATTAATCAATATGCGTATGTGTCTGTGTGTGTGTGTGTGTGTTGTGTGTGTGGATACGTGTAGCGTTCATTTGCCGAGTTTCTCGAACATGATCAGTTTCTCCTTGAAACTCTTCGTATCCGTAGATACCTCGGATATATTGCCGTTCAACATGTTCTGTAAATCCTCGTCGTTCTTGCTGACGAGAAGATTGTCGAAGATCATCTTGTTGTCTTCTTGTTTGGCGACTGGCGAGGTAGGCTGCGACGTGGTGATCTGTTGCTTCTTCTTAGGGTAAATCACAGAGCTTCGTTGGTTATTGCCGTTGTCGGCCATTCTGGTAACTATCGTGATGGCTAGCAACTGATGTATGTCGATATTCTCCTTCGATTCCGACGTCTGACGCCAGTAAAACTTGTCCGGCGAGATCAACGATCTGGTGTCTTCCGCCATACCGTCCGCCATTGAGATCTGATCCGCATGCGACGTCATCAGAGGTTTATTGGTCCAAGTATCCTGAAAATGGCAACGACAACACAGTTTCAAGTGTGAAAAACGATCGGTCGAGCGAAAGTTTCACGCGTCAAGGAAGAAGAACTTACATTTTTGTCTGCAACGGCGTCCGCGAGGTCCTCCTGTTTCCTATCCTGGTCCACATCTCTCTCCAGGCTGTCCAGAGTTTCCGTACTCTCGGACGACTTGTTCCTTCTCTCGGAGTCCAACGTGTCCGTGCTGCCGAGTTCCGAGCTCTCGGACGACTTCTGAAGCCTTGATGGCTTTCTGATGGTGATCGGTCTCTTCTCTTCCTCCTGATCCTGGAGAGGATCCGCCGGAACGATGTCCACGTAACTGGTGCTCGGTATCCTCTTCGGCGTCCTTCTCACTCGCCTGTTCTCCAATTTGTCGTCCGACTCCAGATTATCCGAACTTTCGGAGGACATTCGTTTCGAGGACCTCCTGCAGCAATTGCCGAAACTGTCCCTGATGATGTTCATCTCCTCGTCTTTCAGCTCGTTTATCTCGATCCTCTCGAAGTCCTCCGACGACTTGGAGATGCTCTTGGACAGTCTTCTCCCTCGCGACAGATTGATATCCGAGACGCTGCTCCTTTTCTGCAGGTTCTCCTGAACCGACGAAGCCTCCGTCGTCCCGATCTGCGCCTGTTCCAAAACCTCGAAGCTCTCCGACGACTTTGACATGCTCTTGGAGGATCTGCGAGCGCGCAGCTCGAAGCTGCTTCTCCTGCGCTCGATGGACTCGTCGCTGGTGAGCGCCTCTATCGCTTCCAGACTGTCGGAAGACTTGAACACGCGATCGGTCGACTTGGAGATCGGGTTCAACAGCCGCCGCGTCACCGGCTTCGCCTCCTCGTACTCTGTTAATTTGTCGAAGCCCTCGGTGGACTTGGAGAACCAGCTGGACGCCACTTCCAGGCTGTCCGGTGACTTGGACAGTCGGTTGGACGATCTCCTTCGGGGCAGCCTCGACTCCAGCTCCTCGAACATCTCCGTGTTCTTTGGCGTTCGATTTGACGGCTTTCTCACGACCGATCGAACGTCCGGCTGCTGCTCCTCGTTCACCTCGACGCTCGTCCTCGAGGCGGACACCGCGTCCAGACTGTCCGGGGACAGGGAGGCCACGCTAGGCGGTTTCCTAGGTAGCTTGGCTTCCAGCTCCTCGAAGATGTCCGACGTGCGCGACAATCTGCTCGAGGATTTCCTCGTCACGGACGCGTTCTTCGGCTCCGTCGGCGAAGACGCGTTACTATTCACGCTGGCCGTCTGCTGGTCCAGGCTGTCCAACGAGTCCTCCGCTATGATCGTGATCGTCGACGTGGACGTGTTGGCGTTCTGCGAGCCGGTGCGCCTCGGTGGCCTCCGGTTTTTAGGCCTCACCGAAATCCGATGATGCGCCGCCGTGTGGTTCAAGCTGGCGCTTTCCAGTTGCGCTGTTGCACGAAAATATTTCGTTGAAACGAAAAAAAAAAAAAAGGGTTACATTCGCCATTTACTTACGTAAATCTTCTTTGGCCACGGGTGTGATGCGATCGACAGCGTCCTTTGGCGATTTCGAACCCTGGAAGACGAAATTGGTTCATTTTTTTTTTTTTTTTTTTTTTTAATTAAAAACAAATTTTTCAAAACGACAAGAAACAACGAGACGCGACGCCAACGTGTGTGTGTGTGTGTGTGTGTGTGTGCGTGTCAGGAAGAGAATTCGAGAATCTGAATGAAAGAAAATGAGCAAAGAATTGTAAAAACAGGCTAGACGACAGGCTAGACGAATTATCGGTGACACTGTTTGCAGTCTTTGAGCCGAGTGCAATCGGTAGCCCCGGGGCTCGCAAAGCGCCGACTATAACGGTATTAACCACTATCGGGACGAGCAAGTGCAGCCAGTTAACCGTGATCGTTCGGGAACCGGTTGCAGGTGCCGTCTCGGAAAGACACTTCTCACTGCAGCCAGGAAAAGCTTTCGTTCGTGCTACCGTTCTCCCCCCGCGTCGCTTTGCCGAGCCACGTAATCGCGTGGCGAACAGCTGGTATACAAGTCGAACAGCGTATACGAGTTCTAGGCTCGTTCACGTTCCAACGAAACTCGAATTTCTCTTTTCTTTTCTGTTCGTCTTGTCCGGTCTGACTCTGTCGCTGGCTTTAACCCAGTTGTGACCGAGCAACGTGTACAACGTTACAGTCGTTTGCACTGACTCTTGGATCTCTTGGATCAATGATCATTTACCCCCTGAAAATTATTTCACACACATACATGTACGTCAAACTCTTTTTTCCACTTGGCGAGACTCCCTTCACTCGAGCAAATATTTCTTTGGATTAATTTTCGGCGCAGGAATGTTTTAACTTTGCTAAAATTTAGTCACGCACTTTGAGAAACCCTGAGGAGTAATATCGATTTGTCCTCGCTGACTTTCAATCCGAGGGATCGAGAGATTGAAAGACGACTCGAGAGATGATAGATTAATAATGCGAATTAATATTTGTCACGGGGATCTACTCGAAGATCGTGGGAGATCGGTCGATGGATTACCTCGATCGTCTCTTCGGCTCGTGGACTCGCCGAGTCTTTGATTACCGGCGGGATCCTCTGTCTCGTTTCCGGCTTCGAGCGTGGTCGATCCTCGATCCTGCACTGTCTGACGAATCCTGCCGAGTCATCCTCTGCCGTCTTATCCTGCATCGTTCGAGCAACATATCGAGTAACGTAAAACGCGAAAATCATGGTAAGGGATCTGATCGATTACCTCGATCGTATCCTCGCCACGAACCGATTGTTCTTTCGTCGCCTGAGGGATCGCGCGTCGGCTCTCTGGCGGCTTCGCTCTTGGCCGATCCTCGATCTTGCACGCCGATCTTATCGACTCGAACCTCTTCTCCTCGACCTTGTCCTTGCATTCAGATTCGCGTAACGCGTTATTATTACCAGACTGTGCGGATGTTTATGCATTTCTGGGAATGGGCGAACTCTTTCAATAAGAGCTAATAATAAGCTTGTTCAAAATCTCGACTAGCACCTGATATAATACCCCGTATAAATATAAAATACTGCGCTATTTACATCGTTCGTGCCTTTGCACGAAGAAACAATGGCCATGAATGTATGAATAAATAAATATAATGTATAAATAAATGAAATATCCAAGGAAATGAAAACTGCATAAACATCTGCACTCTACTTCTTGTATCTTTGTGACCGATCAACATTAATCGACAATTAAATACCGACAATTGTGTGCCATGTAATGTGTCAATTACACGTCACACGATAAAACATCGATATCAAAAATATCGAGGCTGGAATTCCACGTGGAACCACGAACCAACGAGGCTAGTTTCTTCCTTTAGGTCGGTTTACCTGCGCGTCGTCCTCGAGCGCGGCAGCCTCTCTCCTGACCAAGCCGACGATCTTTCGCTGGCCAGTGGTTTCCTGTTTCGGCCTCGGCCGATCCTCGTGCCTGCACACGCGCCTGATCGGCGCCGGTATCTCGTACTCGACCTTCTCCTTGCACCCGTACACGCCGATGCTGATCTTCGCCGCGGGCTGCACGGCCTGGAAGCTCTTGCACCGGGTGCTGTCCTGCTTCGTCCGATCGATCAGCCGCCTCCTCTCCACCGGGTTCAGGTTCAACTGCTCGATTATCGCCCGTATGTTGGACGAGATGCTGCCCTCGCGGTGAGACACCACCATCGTTCTCCGCCGGATCCTCGAGTGTTTCTCGATCGTTAGCGCGACCTCGCGCGACCACCGTCCATCCAACTGCTGGCTGTTACCACGACGATCTCGGTATCGAGAGCAACGTCACAAAGCAGGACACAGCCGAATACCATGCGAGTTATCGGCGATATTCCACGAGCGAGCTGCCTGGAATTTCGTTGGCAAGTTCGGACGTCATTCGAAGGCCAACGTTCGAAGTCTCTTCGAGATCACGTTTTGCGCGGGACGATAAGAAGAAAGAACGCACGAGGCAAACTTTCCAAACTATCGACGCGGCTGTCAAGAATCGCGAGAATCGTCGATCAATCATCAACTGTTTGCCCAGGGGCATCGAGAACACTTGCGGAACGCTCTCCAGAATTCGCTAGAATAAATCACGCTCGTTCCTAATTGCATCGAACGAACGAACACCTCAAGCAATCGCCTGCTTAGCTTCAGAAACGCGCGTTATCGCTTTTCTCAGGATTTCACGCGACCGCTTCCACAGCTCGTCCTCCTTTTCCACCGATCCCGAGGACCCTTTCCCACGCGACCTTCCATAGAATCACCACGAAATTACTTACTGAGCGCCATGTTTTCGATTCGCGCGCGCCTAACAGACGAACTACTCGGTGGGAGGGGAGGAAAAGTCGTGGAATATACGTATACAATGTAGATACATGGGTTGTTCCCTGGCGTTGTTTCGCGAAAACAATAGATAACTATATTATACACAGAGATCGAGATCAGAGCGAGTTTCGTCGCATGAGCGTTTCACGCGCGTTTTAGCTGCTCCTCCGCAGAAACAGTCGTTCCAAACTGAATTGTAAATTGTGAAAAAAAAAAAAATTCTAAATTATAAAAAAAAGGAAAAAGAGTGGGGACAAGCTATTGTTTCAACTATCCGCGATTACACACGTTCTAAACTAAATTCTAAATTATAAAGAAAATTCTCAAGTTATTAAATAGAAATTCTATATAGCAAAGAAAATTCTAGATTATGAGAAAGAAGAAGGAGAGAAAGAAGAAAGCTATCGTTTCAACAAGGATCGGTCTAGTCTTCGTAACCGAGGCTCGTTCTGCAAGACTGCAAATGACGCAATCAACGTTCGAAAATAAAAAAAAAAAAAAAAACAGCAGCTCTTTGGTACGAGGCTCTCGTGCTCGATCTTTCACCGGTTATTGGATTAGAGTGTGTGCTCGATCGAAGACCGGGCAGAGAGCTCGTCGGCGAACGTCTGCTCGGCAAAATCCAGGCCAAAGACGTGTGCCCACGTCGGCCGCCCACGGTGTTTACCCAACACCTTTCCTCGAACCGCGATCAAGAGAGGCGCGAATCTCTCTGCTGCACGAGAGTTGCGCGTTCGATCGATCCATACGCGGAGAACACGGCCGAACCGAGGAAAAATCAAGCGGAAGTTTCACTAGAACGCGTGGCAACAATCACTTTTCAACGAATCGGTTTTGAATCCTTTGTACAAAAAAAAAAAAAAAAGTTGAATATTTAATAACAATATATAGATTTTGACGAGTTCTCTATTCTCTCTGTTTCATGTAAAATCGATTTTTTCGAGGTTCCACCGTGTGTTTCTGTAAATATCGCCAAGTTTCATTAGAACGTGCTTCTGAACCACTACTTTTATCCCTATTTCTTTGTACAAATTTCGATTTTAGGATCATTAAGTTTTTTATCGGTAACAATTTTCATAATAAAAAATTTTTCTTTAAATTATGATCAAACTAATTTATTTTCACGATCAATTTCAATCACTATCATTACCTGTGTTAGCCGAAGCAATTACTATACTATTATTTGATCGAAATTTTAATACATTATTTTTTCATCCAATAGGTTTGTATCTTAATTTGTATCTTAATTTGTATCTTAATTTTACCAGGATTTCGATTAATTTCACAAATTATTATAAA